CCTGGGGGGTTGAGAGATAGAGTTTAGCAAGTTCGGGCATAAAGGTGTGCTTGAACGTCATCTAAGTCACAACAATAGAGGAGCAGTGTGATGAAAAGAGATAGGGGCCCAAGGACATTAGATGCTGCCATGAGGGCACATAACAACAGACAGTGCAGGAGTGAAAAAGTTTGTGAACATTTGGACTTAATAACGGTTGAAAGAGCTTTGTGACAGCAATAGGATCAGAAACGCCTGTAGTTGAGAGATCAGAATCTCTGAGGCCAACGAGTGTAGTTTTTTGAGGAGGAGGGGGTGGTCGACTGTGTCGAAGGCCACAGAGAGGTCAAGGAGTAGGAGCACTGAATAGCTTTGGCGGTCTTCACAAAACTGGCCATTAGCTTTGAATCGCGGTTAGCCAGGTCGTTGGAGAGTTTGAGTAAGGACTTTGACTGGAGTCCAGAAGGACGGATTCTGTGCTATTGTAGGGGATTGAGTTGAATTACTTGTATGAGGTTGGGTCATTGTCCTGTTGCATCACCCATCGCTCTGCGGAGCTTCAGATGTTGGCGGACAGATGGTCGAGGTTTTCGGCAAAATGTCATTGGGGTCTCTGGGATTCATTTTCCCATCAATGGGGGTGATCTGTCCAGCCCTGAAGCAGAAAGCAGCCCCAAACCAAAGTGCTCCCTCCGCCAGGTTTTTACAGAGGGGATGAGATTTTGATGTGGGTGAGCTGTGCCTTTTTTTATCCAGGGGGAGGGAGTGTTGTGTGAGTTCCCAAACAACTCAATCTTGGTTTCATCTGGTCCACGGTATCATTTTGCCAGTATGCTGTGGAGACATCCAGGTTCTCTTTTGCAAATTCAAACGTGCTGCAATAGTCTTTTTGGGCAGCTTCAGTATGAGGAATGTAGGGTGGGGTGGGAGAGGAGGTAAGAGCCGTGGTGTCCTCCCATGTAGTGGTGGGTGTCAACAAAAATGTTAGCAGAGGGGTTCTGTAGGGGGTAGCTGAGTGACTCTGGGATTCTTCTTTAGGGAGTTTGAGCAGCGACGTGCCCTGTGGGTCATGTCGAGGGGGACAACGCCTAGGGGGTAGCAACAGTGCTAAATTTTCGGGTTGTAGAAGTCGTGTGAGTTGCGGCAATGTCATCAAGGCTTTTGCGATACTTTTGTAACCCAGTTCCATGCTAGCATGTAAATTGCAAACAATTCTTGATTGTGGTTTCTGAGAGCTCATTTAGCGATATTTGTAGTTTGCAGACAGTGCTATTGAAACAAAATAGAAAACAGGTGTGTGTATACTAGGACAGGATTTCAAAACATCCAATATCAACAGATTGGAGTAAGGTTGGAACACTGTATTTAAAAGAATAGGAATAAGTCATTAAGCTGGGAATAATATATTTTTAGGTATGCTGGCATATAATAATTAATAATGTGCAATTAAAATGGCAATTCTACACTGAAATGGTGTGATATTGAGATGTTCAGCACACTGTATTCTTCACAATATTGTATATATAGATATATTCATAGCACATTTTATAATTCATGCATATCCATATATACCATATTCATATACTTATTTCTTGCAACTGTATATTATATATATATATATATATATATATATATATATATATATATAAAAATGGTTAGATAAATAGCTTGTTCTTTATCTATATGTGTAAATTCTGTATTGCCAACATACAGAATTTGTATTGCTAAATACAAATATACTGTGCACTTTGCAAGTGCAGTTGCTCCAGAGCTTAGTAAATGAGGTAAAGCTCTGCTGAGTTCCATCATCCAATCATGTCCATATCCAAGCAAAAATGCAGTTTTTGTATCTTCCTTGCATGTGATTGGGTATTCTTTGTAAAGTGAAACTTCACCTCATTTACTAAGCTCTGAAGCAACTGCACTTGCAAAGTGAACAGTCTATTTGCCTTTAGTAAATCAATCCCACTGGGCAGCACACAGCTGACCTGCATATAGTGTCAGTAACACATTCCAATATACAGTAAAAGGTTTCCAGGCTGCTGTCCTGCCTGCCAGCTAGGTTCCCATTTTTGCTGATCTTGCAGAGTTTGCTTATTTTTGTTGGTGGAAGAGTGTTTTGTGTAGTTGCAGTTCAATGAATTTGCATGTGTGCAACCAGAACCAAACTGCTGGAAGAGTAAGAAGACAATATGCCTACCCTTCCAGTAATTGGTTCTAGGTGTAGGACTGGAATCATCTTTTTGACATCAGTCAAAGTAGGATGCACATTTTGGCATTCAAATCTATCTATCTATCTATCTATCTATCTATCTATCTATCTATCTATCTATCTATGCGCAACACATTATGAATGCTTTCTTTAATATTTTTGACTTGAGAAAGAATCAAAAACATATTTATGGCATTCCAGCCATCCCCATTATATAATATGATGACTGTGACTATTGAAGCACTTGTTCTCCCCAATATCTGCTTGTTAAATATCTTTGGCAATCCATGGGCAAGAATTCCTGGCCATATAAAAAGGGGAATTATTATGTTATTGTTATATGTTATATTGTTATTTTCTTTAAATCATTTTCACATACAAATACTTAAAAATCCTGGAACTGAACCAAAGGTGAAATAAGAATGTGCACATCGACTGTTACATAAATTCAATGGAAAATAGCCAAATCCAAAACTTCACTTCAATGCAGTGAAGAACAATTACAAATCTGGAAATGCAATACAGTAATGAAAACATGTTTCAGCAAGCATGTAAAATGTGAAAATGACATCAAATATTACTTTTAGGTGAACCTTACAATAATAACTCAAAATAAGTGCTCACTGAAATACATTATAGATTCTCTTGTAGTGCAGAATTATAACTTAGGAACAGCCTCGGTAATGACAGTGATTCGGCCAAGCCTTCCCTGCTGAATAGAGACAGTTAAGCAGCACATTTAACAGAGTGCATTAAAATATAATTAGTTTTGGTGCTTGCATTTATTAGACAATATAGCACATGGATAGGCTATTTGTTTATCTTGTATCAATGGGTCCAGATTAGTTGTATTGCTTCTTAAATTACTTTGAACTGGCTCATGAGGAGCGATGTAGCTGGCGTTTCGCGGTGCCATACTCCAATGGGGGATGAAGCTCAGACATCATCCTAGGTCTGTTTTCAGCTCAATGCTCTGCTGATTTTATTACAGCTGCACTTCCATATCCCTGAGAAATCCCCAGTGACACCATCAATGGTAATACACTCACAGAAGAGCATGAAGACTGAAAAAACACCCACAATGGCAATCCGCCTACAGTCCCTAATGTTGAATCATGTGCTAATTGTTAGACTCATAGAATACATTAGATAGTAATGAAAACTTTATAGTCTGGCGCAGACATAACAACCATAGAGAACACAGAAACATTCACATCCAGTATTAGATTCCACTGGGGGTTTAAAAATGTTATTACAAAAAGTAAGCAAACTGTAATTCCTGAAAGTCTAGTCTGGCCAAAATTGAGAGGGCTTTCTTTCAAAATTAAAAGAAGCCTGAGTTAGATATACCATCAGTTCTATTGCTTGGTGTGCTCTGTGTTTTGGTGATATTGATTTTGCTGCAAAATTATCAATTTCACCATAGGTGTAATTTGTCAGAAACTGAGTTTCTTGATTTTGTTCACTGATATGCTTAGACCAAATTTGATTTAAAAAAAATCTACTCTATTCTCTTTACTAAGGGGGTATTTATGGTAGTTGAAAGCCAGGGGCCATTAAATCTTACCACCTCATGAAAAACACAACAACCAATCTTAATTTTGCCCTTTCAATTGATGCCAATTCTTTCTCCAAAATTGCCACATTTTGCTGACATCTACTGATTTTTGCCAAAATTTCAGGGAAATAATAACTATAATTCCCACTCATCCCCAGCTCCGGGAGTCATGTTACTGCTTCTCACTTTCCAATAAACCTGGCCCTTTTAGGCTAGTCTCATCAAATAATTTAGCTAAACATCTAGAGGAACATATAGGCTAAATCCTATAACTCTTATTTTAATTTTGATGAGGTTTTTAAAAGGGGGTGGAGCCCCTGAAATGCATATCGGCCCCACCCATTACTGACAGGTTGGACTTGACAGCTGCACTCTGTCATTGCAGCTGTATCCCCGCCGGCTTGTTTGCCAATCCCTGACTGTGCTGGATGTTTTCACATTGCTACTCAGCTCTACTCATTTGTTATCCCTCTGATGCAGGAATTCTTGTCTAGGCTCCTGTATGCTGTTAATAAAGAGTTTAGAATTGGTTACCTTTGTGCCTGGAATGTGCTGATGACCCCGCAGCCCCTGCCTAGACCCTGATGACCACTGTTGGATATTTATATACTTGCGCATATCCTATGCGCTTCTGGTGAGTGCACTCATATTACCAGCCCTCGCCATTTAGGATCACCAGCACGAAGTATGGATCACCTAATTTTCTGGACTTGATTTGCATTTTTACTTATGATGCACTACAGTCACTTTATATATTGATTATAAATTCATTTGTTTACTACGTCAATAAGAGACGATTTATCACTATATCACTTTACAAACGCTTTACTAGCGCTCACCTTTTACTATTCATTATTATCGTTTCTTTTGTCTGTAGAGCTGCATTTTTATCATACTGTATTATTTGGAGGTCTAGAGGTTTACCTTTAATGCCAGCTGCTTTATATTTTGCGCTCGCTTATATTTCTGATTTTAGTTTTGATGAGTTGTTTAAGGCTAGGTTGGTGTTAATGAGGACCATATCTGCATGTTCATATAGTTTCCAAGCAGTCATGATTGCTCTCAAAGTATTCAAAAGCTTGGCACATGTGCCAAATATTCCACAGTAGTCAAATTTGACCATGCACATGTCCAGAAGTAGGTGAGTCAGCCATTTATAGTAAAGTCAATAACATGGTGAACCAGCACATCAGAATTATAGCAAAGTGCACAATTTAGAACAAAACAGTTAAACAGATTAAAAAGCCTTACCAATAAGTATATGCTGTGGTTCGCTTTTTATCCCGGTGCCAGCACTTGTGCTTGCTGCCACTTCAACCCGGTACTGAATGCCAGGGTAGAGTCCGCCAATCACCACTGAGCGAATTGCAGCATCTACAGTCTTGTTTATGTGAAACCGTGTCTCATTGCCCAGGCACCAGATCTGTATATGTAAAGGAAATATACATTTACTAGACAACACATAACATTGATTATTCATTTAGCTGTGTTTTTGTTTTGCCATCACACACAGTCCATGTGGACCCTCCTACATTAAAAGAGGCTTTCACTACATTATGCAGAGACTTGTTTACCAATGTTTAGACAATTTACCTCTTAGGTTCCTTGCACACTAGCGTTTTTCTAAGCTCCTAGAAGTTGTTATGAGCATTTTTTTTGCTCTTAGAAGCTAAATAGTATTATCCTATGTGCCCATGCACACTACTTTAGGCTATTAGCATTTTTTGAGCTTCAGTGTCTAAGAGCAGAAAAAAATTGTTTTTGTAGAGTTTTTTGGAGAGTTTTTGCAGCAGAAAAAACGCTAAATGTTCCTAAACACTACTAAATGTTCCTAACCATTTTATTCTTGCTTTTTTTTTTACCTCTACATGTATTGTAAAAATTATAATAGAATGCTAAATGCTCCTAAATGATTCTGAACGCTACTAAAATGCTACTAAAAAATGTTATTACCAGTGTTTTTATATCCAGCGTTTTTCCAGCTTTTTTTAGCTTAAATAAAAAACGCTAGTGTGCATGGAGCTAGAGACATATTCTGAGTTTAACAGCCATGCTTAAAGTCTTAATTAAAGTGATTAAAGGCAATTAAAAAAAAAACAACAAACATGTCATCTCCACTGTACTTGCAGTGGTTTTTCACAGAGCAGCTCTGGTCCTAATCTTCTCTGATCCCCCGTGGGTGCTCCTGGCCCCTCCCTCCTGCCAAGAAAGTGCCCCCAGAGCAAGCAGCTTCACATATAGAGCTGTAGCTCGACCCTGCCCCCTCTCTATCCTCATTGATTCACTGACTGTAATTCACTGCTGTCTCAGTCAATGAAGAGGGAGAGTCCCAGAGAGCCAAGGCTCTCCTGCAGATTGCTGGATTGCAATGGGCCTCAGGTAAGTATTAAGGGGGCTCAGGGGGCTGCTGCACACAGAAGGTTTTTACCTTCATGCATAGAATGCCTCTGCTGAATGCATGAAGGTAAGACACCTTGAGCCTTTACAACCACACCACTTTAAGGCTTACGTGAAAAAAACCCCACAATCTCAAAAACTGCTCATGTTCTAAGTTGTGCAGGAAACCACTAGTAACTATTTTCATAGGTAGATAGCTAGCTAGCCTTTGTAGAGTTAAAGTCTCTGATTTTCTTACCAACAGAACACTTTCTCTACAGAGTTCATATGACTTTCAAAAGCTTATTGTAGGTTTAAACATATTTTTAAAAAAAATGAAAATGAAAGCTTACTGTGCTTAGATGTAGTGGCTGCATTTGTTTTTTTTTTTCAGCCTTCTTTTTTAAATATCACTTGGTGCAGGGGTGGACTGACAACTCATGGGGCCCCCGGGCAATAGGGAATCATGGGGCCCCTGTGTCCTTGCCCAAACTCAAAAAAGCCTAAAAGAAAAAAAGGCACCAGGGGCATCTCATGGGGCCCCCTACTGACCTCGGGCCCTCGGGCAGTGCCCGAGTTTCCAAATGGTCAGTCCGCCCCTGAATTGGTGGATTTGTTACTGATACACTTCTAGTAGGGTGACAACACTCTCTCATCGTAGTGTATTTATGGAGGAGAGGTATTGTCACCCTAGAACAAGAAGTTTATGGGTTTTTTGGACTACAGGATGTCTTCCCCTCACCTCTTCTTCAAAAAATACGGAAATATACTTTGTAGTCCTCAGAGATAGCTGGGAACAATGAAACTAATCACATTGCAGCAGAGGCAGGATCAACTGGTATATTCTTTGCACTTATCAAACAGATACAACAAACTGCTTTCAACGGTATAGTTACCGGGGGCAAATAAAAGACATTCATTGGGATTTACATAGTATACTATAACTAACCTACAACTAAACTGTGCCTAGATTAAATTTGTTGTACAGAGACAATATATATTTTTCAAAGAAAATTTAATTGGCAGGAACAACAGGAGAATTATACAAAAGACTGGCACCAGACAGACACAAGCAATAAAAGCACACAACCTATTCATACAGACAAATCATCTAAAACCAGAACCCAAAAATCATCTTTCACCAGTACGAATACATTTTATTAATCACTGCTTTTTAATGTTCTAAATACATAAGCTGCTTTTACCACAAGATACCGTTTATGAAAACTACTAAAAATAATCTAAAAGAATCTAGATTAAAAAAAAAAAAAACATATGCATACTTTGCTGCTAAGACTGATAAATCATTTTAATGTCGCTATGGAAGCCATCTAGTCAAAATACCTTTTCCCTAATGCTTTCCATTGTAATTACACTTTCTGGCACAGTCCATGAGAAAACTGCAGGCATCAATTTGAATTTTCACTTTATTTAAGGTAGCAGATATTCTCAATGGTTTTTGACTGTTAACAGTGTTAGTCAGAAATTAATCATATGTTAATCTGCTTTAAATCTAATGTGGAGACTCCAAAATGCCCATGCTATCGAGATTAATTCATTGAATTGGTAAGTATTGACAAAGGTGAAGCCGAGGTTAATATCTGCACGGGGGTTAATAAATCCTGATGAAATATTGATCTCCCCCAAATAAATATACACATGATGACTATGTATTTTAGATGCTTACATTTGCACAGAGGATAATCTGGTGGAACATGTTACATTTACTGTAGAAAAGATAAAAATAGCATGCTTGCCTGGAATGTACTTTAATTATACTGAAATACATAATTGCATACTCATGGAATATATATTTTTGTCCTTTACATATTTAGGTTATCATTTGTAGAGTTTTTTTGGTAAGCCACAAGCATGTTTTACACTATCAACCAAGTGCTTTGAGTGTCAAAAATGTAATTGGTAGAATTTGAAACGGGCATTTTCTGAATGTAGAGGGCCTGTGTACAAGATTATAAGATTAAGGGTCAGCACAACGGCTAAGTGGTTAGTTCTTCCACCTATCAGCACTAAGGTTTGAATCCCAACCATGTCACTACCTGCTTGGATTTTGCATTTCTCTCTGTGCCTGTGTGAGTTTCCTTGCACACTCCGTAGACATGCTGATAGATTATTTGCCCCTAGTGTATTTACGAATGTGAGTTAGGGACCTTAGATTGTAAGCTCGCCAAAGGCAGGCACTGATGTGAATATAAATTATACATGTACATTGACAGGGCTATATAAGTAGCTGTAATAATTACAAGCTGGGCCCCTACAACTTGTATGAGCAGTTACATACGATTGGTTCAAGCCTTTGATTTATGCCTTTCATCCCTCAGACCCCAGACATTTGCACTGTATACTATTACCTGGTTTAACTGTTTTTATAAATACTTTTTATTATTTGGAATCACTTGTGGGAACTGGTGAGGAAAAGCCTGGCCCACACATCCACTGACACTAGTCTGGATATAAGGGCAAGCCAGGTATAGTGGGTATACAAAATAATCCTCCCCCCCTCCTTTTAAAATAATCACATGTTGTTGACTGCTTCTAGGCATTGATAAAACCTTTGAAATTATTTTGTATCCATGCCCTGACTTGTACCTGTCCACAACCTGGAGATCGTTTGGCAGTCCCTCCCCACACATAGTTGATTGTTTGCTTCAGGTGCACTATCAGGGACTTAAATGCTCCAGGAAATCTCTTTTCATGCTGAGCTAATCAAAATGACCACAGCTGATAAGAGTTGAAAGTCAAATGGCTTTGTGTGCCATTGAGAAGGTTTAGCTACAGAGTAATTTTTAGGGGGGGGGGTCCTTTTTCCAACTCTGTTTTCTGTTTTTGAATGTGTTTTTATTTCTTTCTGACATGCTGGTATTATATCTTTCACCTGGATGTTATAAGTTGCACTGAGAAAATACAGCTGGATAAAACAAAAACTGTGTCTGTCTTCATGTTAGGCTGCAAAGCAGCAACATTGATAGTGATTATTTTAAAGGGGGGATTCTTTTCTATACCCACTGTATATCACATGCGTACTTAATCAGCATATTATCAGCACTGCATCTGTCCTCTTCAGAGGGCATACACAGATCTCCTTTGAGCTGCAGCTGCATGTGATAAGCAAGGCTGGAACTCTAAGGACAGGATTGTAGCAGAGAGTGCTTTCTGAATAAATTCCCCAATATATGCACAGAGTGCACAGTGGGTCCTTTTCTTCTTAAAGTCTGTGTGCACTGTACACATTATGGACACACCAGAGATTTTAGACATTGAGAATACAGGTGAGTTTTCTTCACCTAATGTCCCTGTGAAACACTTTAAAGAGGAATGAAACCCAAAACCAAAATGTAATATATTGCAGTTTATCAGTCATTAGATGTGATGGCTACATCAGTTTTCTTTTCTTAGGCTTTTTCCCCCTTTGTCTTCACCAGGTGATCTGGCCAGTAACACACCTCCTGTAATAGAGTGCCTACACTCTGGATGAAGAAGCACAGGGGGCACCTTTGGAGGTGTCAATCTGGAGGGAGGGGAGTGTTAGATGTACTCACGGATTTAAATACACTAACAAATTAAAGCCAAACTCCTGCTAAAACTTTATAATCAGTCTTTTTCCTTTTTGAGATACAGGTTTTACAAAAATATATAAAAGCTGATCTTTGTAAGCACCCCTGCTAGTGTTAAATGGTTTGTCTCATCTCTGTAACTGATACATCAAGAGAGCTTGTTCTTTTGAAAAAACAACAGACTTACTGGCTGGGTCAGCAGATTAAAATAGAAGAAAGAAAGCCTAAAAAAGAAAACGAATACAGCCATCATATCTAAGAATTGGTAAGCTGCTATATAATAAACACAGACGTATATAAAAAGCTAACAAGAGATTTAACCTCACTTCCTGTTTCGTGAAACTGACGTCACCAGGACAAGAAGAGAGGGGGAATCGCTAATGGAGCACCAGATAGCAAAAATAAACCCCATACAATACTTTTTTGAAAGTGGACTTTTTAGGTGCCCATGGACTACACATACAGTACAATATCACAAAAACTACAAATTTATGGACAGCTCCTTTGTTAAAAAACATTTTCCACAACATGTGAAAAGAACCCGGTTAAAGTTATATGACTCCCTCCTGTTTAAATCACTGAACACATTATTATACAAATATCTGAATATCTGTGCATAATAATGCATCCAAAGAAGCTGACAATAAATGTGTATTTTTTTATGATACTGTATGTGTAGTCTGTGGGCACTCAGAAAGTCCACTTTCAAATGAAAATTATTCTTATACACTTGGGATTTGGTGCCTACCAAATTAATTAATTTATTCTGGCAGTAAAACCCCAACAGGGGTTCTAACCCTCTCCCATGCTATCCAAAATTTAAAGAAAAAAATGTTGGCCCTGGATAACAAGAGACGGACCACGCAGACTTAAAATTCCCTTGGAAGGTTCAACAGTTAATATTCATTTTAAATATTTTTATTTATATAAAATATTAATATTTTAGTTGTGTATTTAGCTTTTTTAACCTATTTGTATGGATTTAAACTTTAATTTAGGCTGCAAGCAAACAGGCAATTACAAAAAAAAAAAATGCAACGCAATCTTTTGCAACAACAATTCCCAATGCCAGTTTAAAAATATTTATACATATTTTAACTTTCTTCTTAAAAAGTCTCACTTTGATAATATGTTTGCCCATTTACCATATTGTCAATGGAAATGGTGCAATGGAATTTTTGTTGATGTTTGTACAGAAGGAAATAGCTTTACCCTATAGTCTTGAATAATTCCATTCTGGTGATCCGGAGGAGGTGGGTCCCAGGAGACGCTGATACTTGTGCTATTGTTACTCCCGACTGTCTGAACAGTGACAGACTGCGGTGCAGCACTTGGGGCTAGAGCAGGTGAACAGAAAAATAGAGAGAGAGACATTAATCCTTCAAGCTGAAGTCACATTTTTAGTAACCTCATGTATATCCAGGCAGGCATAGCCCTTAGCTTGTGTTCCCTGCAGACCTGAATATGCAAACAGAGCAAGCTAGTGAGGTTGAAATATTAGCTGTTGTGATAACATCTGTTTAATAAAGAGACAACATTCAGCTTATTCGGTCTTCAAAAAAAAAGAAAATCTGCTCTTTTATTAACATTGTACACATTTTCTATTCCATATTTATCCTCTTGCTACAGGGTATTATGATTATCTACTACACTTCATATTGTATGTTTATTTTAACCGTAACTGTTCAAGGTTTACCAAAATCTCTTAGCACATTTATCATGTGGAATGTTTATACTGTTGTGCTTTTTTTCCATTATGTTGCAATTAAACCATTTCGGTAGCCTAAGTTTACTCACTAAATTGCATTTTTGAATGTTATTATGCCTGGATGACCTCAAAGTTGAGCTGACAAAAATGTAGACCATGGTTCAAACATGAGCTCTGTGCAGCTTTTCCTTTACACACTGGAGCGTGAAGAAATGAGGAGGGGAAGAGGAAGGAAAAATATAGGAATGAAGAGAATGGGAGAATAAAGGAGAGGTGATAAGAGAGAAATGGAATGGAGGAAATGGGAGCAAAGGAAGAATGGTAGAGGATACAGTATAAAGGAGAGAAGAGGAATGTAGAAAAGAGGAGCAGAAGAGATAATGGGAGACAAGACAAAAAAGAAGTAGGGAAAAGATAAACCAGAAAAAGAGAATATGGGATACGAGAAGAGACCACTGAAGAAGACAAGAAATGAAAGGAGAAGACAGCAGAGATGATGAAAGAATAGAATAAAGAAGTAGATAGAAAAAGTAGAAGAGAATGAGAAAGGAGATAAGAGAATGGAGAAGAAAGTAGAGAATGGGGACAAAAAGAGACTGAGGAACAGGAGAGAAAATGGAAGAGAACAAGATTGGAGAGAATGGGAGAGGATAGGAACTAGTATAAAAGTGGAAATTAGAGAATATTAGAGAAAAAAAAGAAAATAAATATACTCATTCTCTGCCTGTTATTCTCATCTGATTGCATCAGTATGATGTCAGTTGACAAGTATGCCAACTAGAATTCCTGACTTTCTTAATCCGCCTGCATTTTGCAGGTCAGTCTTTCAAACTATTAAAGCCAGAAACAGCCGGGCTCAAGGAGGTCTCTAATGGCAGCCTCTGTGTTTCTCTCAGTACAGGTTACCTTCAAAAAGGCATCACTGTTGTATGAAATAGAATTTTCCATTTTATTTGTATTTTGCGGTGTACATGATGATGATGGGTCCAAAAGTTCTCTTTAATCAATTTCAGATCAATACCTGATCAGCACAGGCGCTGCAGATACAAATATCTATTGATTTCTTAACTCCATCCTCTGAAGTTTTTCACATCTAAGTCCATGCCAGTGTGAGAGTAGTAGGTAACAAAGGACCTGCAATAAAATGGCCTTGCTGGAGGGAAGTCATTCCTTTACACTCTAATTTACAGACTCTGATCTGCAGGCTTCCTATAGTGAAGGCATTTGTTTAGAAAACACAGTACAAGTGATGTATTTATGTGGAGCCATTGGCTTTTATTTCCTAATATCAGCTATAAAGTCACTGTTTATTTTCATTTTCTTGATCTGCCATTAAACATTGCATGCCTATAAACTTGATTCAGCGCATATGTCCCAGTATATGTTTTCTACTGTATATTACAGCATTAATGCCCAATTGTAGCTTCCCAAAAATGACAGAAATAATTTAGGGTGGATCAGGAATGTCAGACCACTGTACAGAGACTGCAGTGGTCCCAAGTTACAAACTCCTGCCCTGTTTAGGACTTTTCTTCTGAAGAAGCTTTAAAAAAATAAAGAACATAGAGACAATTTAAACTTCCTCCTTGATCTACCCTAAATTGATTTCTATCTTTTTTTTGGAAACTTTGCTCTCAATATGAGGAATTGTATGGTTATCATGTTAGTCCCAACACGTTTACTATGTTCTGCTGCTTCTGTTGTACAACATAACTCACAGTAAACTGGTATGTGGTCTAGTAGTCAGAAAGTGGCTGCTTTCATCAGGGTCTTTCTTGCTTTGTGACTAATTCTCTTGCTCCTTACATACCACCAGACTGCTCTCAGGCTTAGAACATTGGCTTTTGTGTGCACTTATTCAGTCTTCTTTTCTCATCAAACTTCCACCTCAAGTATCATCACTCTGAGGATCTCACTCTTATGCTGAAGTCTCAAGTGATTACAAGTCATTTAATTACACACCTGCACGGCTGATATACAAAATTGGCAAGTGTATACCTGTCACTGCAAATACACTATTTGAAATATAAATCACTCTGAAACTGTAATTACGTGTATATTACTAACTCTTAAAGGCCAACTCCCCTGATATTTCAGGTTGGCATGGCTGCTGGAAAGTGGAACATTAAGTTCCACTTCCATTAAGTTCCACTTCCATTAAGTGTTGTGACTGATATCCCATTCAAAATAGCCAAATATACCTGGCTACTACAAACATGTTTGTTTTCCAGAAAATCTCTTAAAGCAGGAGATTGCCGTGCTATTATTTCTCAACATAGGGTTAATTTTAGGGTTACATGGAAGGTCAATGTTAGGGTTATATGGAGGGTCAATGTTAGGGTTACATAGAGGGTCAATGTTATGACTACAGGGAGGGTCACTGCTAGGGTTCCATGAAGGGTCAATGTTAGGGTTACAGGAAAAGTTGATATTAGAGTTACATGGAGGACCAATGTTAGGATTGCAGAGATGGTCAAGGTTAGGGTTATAAGGAGGGTTATAGTTAGGATTACAGGGAAGGTCGATGTTAGTGCTATAGGGTGGGATAATGTTGGAATTACAAGGAGGGTCAATGTTACAGTTATAAGGTGGTTACATTTTAGTAGAGGGTATCACATTCTGCACTGGAAACTAACAGCACCAATCCTGGTTCCAAAGGCCAACATTTATTGGAAATCACAATTTTTGGAGTCAGTAGGTGATATGACAACTTGGGACCCAAAAAATACTGTTTTGATTTTCAATAGCCTTTAAAGTGGGACAAAGCCCGCATTTCTGAAAACTGCAAGCAGGAAGCTTTTTATTGCAGAAAAGACAAGCTATGTCTTTTCTCCAATAATAGAAACTTACCGGCCTCCTCGTAACTTTCTACTGAATAACTGCTGAGCTGCTCATTTCTGGCACACTTCAGCTGTGTAGTAATGATTGACGCCTTTTATCCTTTTATCACACACTTCAATAAAAGAAAAGTGTCTGTGCTGGCCACTGCAGCCATTTCAAACTCCATTTCAATGGATAGGGTATAAAAAGTGATTGAAATGAACCCCTGCATTGTCTCCCCACCAAAGTTTCATTTTTATTTTCTAACATTGGAAAAAATACAACCAGATAAATTGTTATGAGCAATGAAAGTCTGACACTTTTGCTTTTTCCTTTTTGTATTATTTACAGATGAGAAGAGTGAATTCTCAGCATCAGCATTGGAGACTCTTAATAAAACTTGTATCCATTCCATCTTGGTTGGCTGATTACATAAATGACATGTCTGGATAATGTCAGATGTCACTTCTTTCAAGGATTAAACACCGAGACTGTAAAACAATTAAGCAGAAATGCTCACTGAGCCAGAAGGGTTTCTGCAAATAGGATTCCTGTGTGGATTTCAAGTGACATTATTCCAATATTTCATGCTGCATTGGGATCTGCTTTACTAAGAGAGTCCTAACATATACAGCAAATATGCAGCAGTTTTAAGGTTCAACAGAAAGCAAATAAGTTGCATGCAACATCAGTAATAAAAGCTCAACTAACCTGACTGTATTCAGACAATGTTTTCCTATAATAAAATTATGTCAACTAACTAGGCTTCATAAACACACTTGCATTTATCAACTTCATTTAACACACTATTACATCATAAAAATGCATTGTAAGATAAGGATAGTTTTTTTGTAAGCTCCCCAATGTTTTCTGTCTTTCCATATCTTAAAAGCTGCATTCAGCTTTTGTTTAACTACATTAAAAACAATGCATAAATGGATCACACACATACTTGAACCCCCCCAAAAAAACTATAAAACATACGTGAAAACTTTTAGAAAAAAAAAAAAATAGACCACAAAACACATCAACAATAATCTGTTTAGTTGCTTACGTGTAGAGGAAGATGTCCATTACATTCACATACATGAAGACCAAGCTGTCTAATGACAGACCCAGTGGTTGAACAACTTTTAATACTGCAAGGAGTTTGGTTTAAATCTTTTTAAAAAGACTGTCAGTACAAAACAAAAAACTCCCCCAAATGTTCCTATTAGTCCATCACTATGATGGCCTGCCTCAATAGCATATAAGAACATGCAGAACATGAAGAAGCAGGGACATGCAGAAATTGGAAGGTTCACTCTATTGAAAGTCCTCTAATCCCAAAAGTAAAATCCCATTCAAAAGCATTTTAAAAATAAACTTTTGCCATAAAAAAAACCTCAGTCCCAGGTTCTGAAGGTTATAGGTAAAGTCACCATGCCTCACTGCTGCCACCTGGGAAAGTTGGGAGCTTGAAATCCCATGATAGTAAATACTAGCCAATAGTAGAGCGTATTCTTGAGGGGATCAAGTGATCAGCTTTCCCAGGAGGCAGTGGTGATGCATGGTGATGTTAGAATACTGTCAGGCTTCAACATTGTGCAGTGTGATACCAGTATGTTTTGGGCATTGTGGGACAAATGGGTGGCACCTAGGCAGGTTTACAGGGGGAGTAAAACCTCAGGATAAGATTTGCTCATAGTAGAGTAGCCTAGGGTAGAACACTGATAACGTAAGGCAAAAACCTCCAGGCCCTGAACAGTAATTTATTCTAAAGGGATGACTGGCTGAGCAAAATTACTAATATTCTGGCCAGTGGGAAAA